AAATGTGAGTAAATAATGACCCAACATTCCAGTATAGTACGAAGGTACGAATCAATGTAGAGCAACACCACGAATTACATACGAAGGTAATATTGAAGTTAAATTATATTCACAATAGTGTCTAATGATTTCGAAAGATCTGAAAATATTTCAATATGCGCTTAATTTTGATCCATTGTTGAAGTGACATCTTTAAGAAATAAAAATACGTCTGTTACCCTTGATTTTAATATTCTAAATCCACGTCGGCAATCTGAAAACACTTCGTATCCATGGTTCATTGAATGAATCAAATAAAGCGACTCATTCAGGGTTGACGAAACAAATTGTAATTACTAAGACACATACCATATTCCACCAAGGATAACGCTTTCCTCTGAGCATTCCTTGCTCACAGAAACGGGCACAATTTTTTGCACCGGTTTTACTAAGAACTACTTAACTGGTCAAATTTGATTGCGGAGTAAAGTCTTCTATACGACTAACATTATTTTAATTATTTACACTGGTTAATAAGTATTTCAAAAATTTCAGTAAAACAAGTAACGTTTTTAATTTAAATTCTGAATTAAAAAATGACGTTCTAGAAACTTCCTAATTTTGTTAATGATTATTCTCCTGTCATTGACACTAAAATAATTCGTTCTAAAATAATTTTAGTAATCAGTTATATGCAGAGCAATAGGATTAAACAGGTATTATCTGTGTACTCTATTATTGGCAAAAATGTTCACTGTCTAATGAAACAAAAAATTAAAATACTTTTGTTCTTATGGCATTTAATTTTTACCATAACACACAATAATTAAAATATGGATAATTTTAATGCTCAAGTAGTAGCTCCTTCAATAATTATAATTGAAATAATTCTAATTTATTCTTTGCAGATTTTGATTAATTTCAAATAAGAGATCACTTGATTTGTTTTCTGTCCCTCTCAATCAACAACATAATATAATTTAACGCGTTAATCTCAGCAGAGCGTATTCAGTTACTTGCATATTAATTTCGACTAACTACTGTAAGCATGCACCAGGAGGAATAAGATCTACAGCCCCCTTGAAAATTTGAAAGGGGCTTTGCAGTCTTGCATAAAAAATATTGTATTTCCGTATGTTCAATACCTGATTTTTCCTCTTTAAGCTGATAAGTTGAAAAAATTGTTTAACGATTTTCGGGACTCATCAAGACATCTGGCAACTGCGTAAATTATTTAACATAAAATCAATTTTATTTATTAATTTTAATTATCGTTGTAGGATATTTATTTATTCATTTATTTGTTTATTAGTAAACATATATGTAAGTAAAAAGAAGTTCAGTGGCAAATGAAGGGCCAGAAATGTAATTTCTTTTTTTTTTGTTTTAGGCTACGCAATATATGAAAACTGCCATAAAAATAAAATTTATTTTACCTGGTTTTGCCTACGAAGCACGCACTCAGCCCTGGCAGTGGCAGATTCCCGTAGGCTCCACTCTGACCCCCGTGATGACCTTGCACTGCGACCACCACTTGATCCATATGTAGAGGTATCATGGTATCTTGAAAAATCGTTCGGTTTTAACACTCGGGTCCGTCCCAAAACACGTCACTCATATCCTCTTCTTTGTTCTCTCAGCTTCTTATGAGGTCCAGGTAGCTTAAATTATGCGTTTCGAACAGTAGTTGAATTTAAAATATGTGCAAAGCTCAAAATACGTTAGTTCGGCACATCCAAAATTATGTGGCAGTCAGTTCGAATCTAGTACGAACACTTGGTTAGTTATATTTGCAGTCCTAGCACACCCTCTTAGGATTTTGTAGTTTGTATTACACAAATCGTTATTACACACGTGACGAAAACCATAAAATAGAAATAAACGTCTCTCAACATTCACCAACTATATTTGCCTTGACCTCACAACTAGTATGGCTCACACTTAGGCCAAAACTCCAAAGCGATCGCAATGAAATTCAAAACGAAGATTTTCTTTGAAAGCAACTGAATTGATTTGTTGAAAAGGCTAGCTTTTGGAATGCTAAAAATAATGAGTGTTTTATATAATAACATTTCTGAAAATTGAATTCCATCTACAAAAATAAACATGTTTATATAATTTTATAAATTCAATAACTTCTACTGCAGTTAATGATGGTGTTCATTATAAAAAGATGGGCATGTTTATTTATTAAAAAGATTGATGTGTACCTACACAATGGGCGAGGATAATTGTTCTAATTAGATCACATATTGTAGCATTCTCACATTCTAACAAACGTAACTAAAGAATTGAACGGCACAGTTCGTTTCACAAATAGCCAAATACGTTGTGGAAACAATTCCCACCACTCCACTAACCTACACACGTCTCATAACACGAATGTATTGCCACAGAACGTCTTACCTGGTCTTACCAGTCCAAACGTCACGGTTAGAATGAATTTATCAACTCTTTGCTTTGCTGGGGCTTCTCGTGTACCACAAGATAATTCTCTTTTCTTCACATAGAACATTTATTTATTATCTTAAACAGTCCGTGACATTTCTCCACAATCCTTCAAATATACCAAACGATGTGCACGATTCTAATCACCGACGAATTTTAGTTCTGGACTCTGACGTTCACAGCGCTCCCGTCGACCTTCACTACATGAATACTCATTAAAGACTCCGTTCTCTTCTCTTGGTACACATTCGGTTTTAACACTCGGCAAGAGCAATTGAATTCATTTCTTTTTTTAAGGTGAATGTAAGATTTAGTTGAATTTCCAGGATATGCAAAAGAAAAAAGTTTGTAAACCCAAAACCGAGGGTTGCAACTTTGATTTGTTTTCTACATGTCACTGACAATTTCTAAATCCATATCGTAACTAACAAATATTTTCTTGTATTCCATTACTACAAATAAATTTTGAACAATAAATAATTTCAACTCAGGCCTTTTAAAAAATACAGGAGGAAAGAAAATGTTGACAAACGAATGGAATAGCATGCAAATAACATTTATTTCCAGTACATTTGATGACAATTGTAATATTATTAACATAACACATTCTTAATATAACAGCTGGAATTCTCTTCAGCAGTCTATCAATTTGTCTTATTGAGCAAGAAATTACTTCAAAATAAAAATGTTTATTCTTTAGAGGAATGTATAAATGCACCTTCATTACATTTCGCAAATTTGGTCTTTTACTACTTAATATTTTTTGAATTGAAATTTACAAGTTTGTTCACAACTCTATATAATAGGTTTTTCACAAACTCTCTAGATTCTATCGTTCGATGCTCTGATACAAAGAAAGTATACAGTAAGTTTGTATAATTATGTAACCTTTTTTGACCCAATGATGTAATAAACTTCCTTTCCAAGTCATTTGATATATCTATTTTTAAATCAATCAATATGAGAAAAAACGAAAATAGACAAAAATGTGAATTCGAACTACTTCCTTTAATTTCAATGTAACCTTTCGATCTGTGGAAATTAAACAACATAGTAGTGGAGCGTATTGATTGAAAAGTTAACCCTTTCACTACAAGACGTATCTTTCGTCATTTCAGAAAATATTGTATTCTTGCACCTGTTTTTCCATCGGTTTTCGTGTCAATTATACCTTTGGCTGATATTTTTGAAGAGGAATTTACAAGTCTGTTCACAACTCTGTATAATAAGTTCTTCATAAACTCCCTAGATACTATCGTTCGGAGCTGCTCCGATACACGCCTCACAAGTAGTTATATTATGAAACAGGCCTAAGTCAGCGAGTTAAAAAACAATGTAATTTTGTATAAATACGTAACATTTTCTGCCCCAATGGTGTAATAAGCGTTCTTTTCAAGTCACTTGATATATCAATTTTTAAATCTATCAATATGAAAAAAAGGAAAATCGACAAAAATGTGTTAACTCCCCTTTTTTTAATAAATTGGATATACCTAACATATAAAGTGTACTTCACACTTCGCTTCGTTTCGGCTCGCGCGTTAACATGAAACATCCCTGCGTACGTACAGAACGATATTCGACTATTTCGAATAAATAAATAATTCGAATAAATAAATAAATAAATAAATAAATAAATAAATAAATAAATAAATAAATAAATAAATAAATAAATAAATATCTTTATAGGTATCGCGGCCCTCCATTAGGCGTTCCCTCCCGCATGACCACTTTCAATAATTTAATATAATACATAATAAATAGGAGGTCATTCAAAGAGCATTCGTACGCAACTGCGAAACGTGTTTCCTAAAGGTACAAAATCCATACTTTTCGAAAATTAAACTATAGGTGTCCAAATTTTATTCATGGGTTTGAGAACTTAAATACAATAGAAATTTTCCCAAATCTTTAAACTCGAAATTCCCTTTTTATGAAAAAACGTACCATATCTACTTCACCTTTCACGGCAAAAAATATAGCTGTAGTAAAAGAAAAAGTAATTACTGAAGAGGAAGATACTGATAACATTAATTTGTATTTCGATGTATGAAAATGCTTTCCAACATAAAGTTTCATTATTTTTAACTTTTAATATTTTATTAACGTTTCAATGAGGATGTTAATTTTAAATATTTGTAAAAACATCAATCTTAATAGTTATTTGGTTATTAATAAGACCTACATACAACTTTTTCTGCTTTTGTAAGTCAAAAGGTAGCAAATTCAAAATGAAAATCCTTATAACTTTAGAATAAAATACGAAAAACCTAAACGTTTTCCAAAAAATACATCAGTAACTTCATAAAAACGCATAATGAAATATTTATTTAATACAATAATAATTTTAGCTGCAGTAAGTTTTTCTTTTCTGATGTAAAATTAGCTCAGTTGGATTTTGGAGACAAGCTCCTGAATTATGGGGAGAGGTTTCTCAAAAGTGTGAAATGATTGAAAGCGAGGGAGGGAGCGCGGTTAAGAAAAGGGACACTCTCACATAATTGATGAGAGTACATTTATTTAGAAATGAATTTAAAATTGATTCGACACATGTCTCTTGCTTTAACTTCATATATAACTTTATTTCATCGAAGAAGTAAAATTACATTCCAAAGTGATATCCAAGTAAACTTCACTGCGCTTCAGTGGTGTCGTTCTGCAACAAAATAAGTTAGCAATTTAAGATTCTATTTGACATACGGTTTATAAAATCGACATAAAAACGCCAGGGAGATATTTACTGTATAAATTATATTTATGGGTATCATTTGTCTTTAACCATTGTTAACATGCAACCCTGTAAGTTTGTTATGTGCATTTGTACCTAACTGTAGGTTAAGAAATTTAAAATCCTTAGCAACGGGTTTTAACATCCTTAGTAACCTAAATAAACAACCACCCATTCGTCACAAGTCAACATTATTACGAAAAATTTACATGGTAATTTACAAGACAAATAGATAAAAAAATTCTTCGTACGCCTTCTCGTATCGTGCTATATTTTTCAGGGAGTAAATCTCGCGTGGCTTTCACAGCTGCATCAAAAATTTCTTGAGGTGCAGATAAATTTTCAGCGTCTATCATCCTCGAGCCACAGTATATAAGTGTATTGTTGAAATAGATAGCAAATAATACCCAACAATATCAATTATCGTGCCGCAACAACAGAATTCATGTGTTTCATATCGCAGTAAAGTCGTAAATTTTCTCAAAAAAAATGAGATTTTATGGTGACCGATAAAACGCTGAACATACCACGAAATGTTAACAGCGTTATTTCTTTCTCGTCCAAATTAAAAAGCTCGGCTCCGCTACGCTCTGCCTCGATCTTTAACTTTTGGCATCGGCAGTAATAACATTCATAACATTTCTAGGTTTGTTAATAGCTACAACTACCTATTGATAAATTTCGTTACGGGACACGAAAGGAAATTGATTGATGAGAGGTCACGTGATCGGGTACCTTGTAACGTCTGGCAATGGCGGCGTCCTCTTTGCACATTATTTAATTACTCATAACACTCATAACATTTCTAGGTGTGTTAATAGCTAAAACTCCCTATTGATAAATTTCGTTACGGGACACGAAAGGAAATTGATTGATGTGAGGTCACGTGATCGGGTACCTTGTAACGTCTTGCAATGGCGGCGTCCTCTTTGCACATTAATTAATTACTCATAACACTCATAACATTTCTAGGTATGTTAATAGCTAAAACTCCCTATTGATAAATTTCGTTACGGGACACGAAAGGGATTGATGTGAGGTCACGTGATCGGGTACCTTCAGACGTCTGGCAATGGCGGCGGCCGCTCTGCACTTGCACACTTGATGCGCCAGCGCTCTCTTCTCCTGTTCGGTCCCATTTGCCTGCTCCGCAATTTTTGCTGCGAACAGTATTGAATTAGTTAATTGCAAGTAATATTATTTCATATTATATTGGTATTGCGTTAGTATTTCTTCTTCTTTGGGCCTATCTTCCATATACGGAAGTTAGGTGACCCATAACGCAGTTTTTCTTGGAATAAATTATTCAGGGTGGTTTCCCGTTGCCTTCCCTGATATGATGATGATGATAGGGGGTGAATGGACGATCACAAACACAACCATGCCCGAGGCGGGACTCGAACCCTCGATCTTTCGGTACGAGATCGCTACGGCAGTACTGCCTTAGCGATCTCGCCCAAAAAATTTTCACGTTTTAATGTTGTTGTTTTTATTTTTTCTTGTACTAAAAAAACCAACGAAAGCTGCTATTGTAATAAACAATATTGTTGGCAATGATGACTCATATAATAAATTATTTCAATATTATTTCAATTTATACGCAGTTTTGTCTGTTAGTATAGATAATGAGGCTCATGCGTACTTAATAAAACTAGTACAATTTTACAAATGAACGATTTCATCTTTTTAGACAAGCGGTTATCAGGTATTGTACCGTTTCAACACTCATTTCCTAACGAGATAGTTGTGATAGGCATGAAACGTAGCAACCAATTAAAAAAATATCAACTTTCCAAAAATCTTTTTACACAAAATCAACGGTAATTTCAAGAACAATTAAGATATTATTACATACTAGGGGAAGCATGTCAAAAATGACGGGAGGAAATTAAACTCCAATATTAATATTTCATTTCAATGAATAATAGAAAACAATCCAATTTATTTTATAATAAACTGAAGCTTTGTATAGTACAGAGGAATTTAAGAGATTATGAGGCATTGCTTGTGTTAGTTTCCCAGAGTGCAAATTAGAATAAACATTCAGTGAAATTCTCAAACTATTAGAAATGCTAATTGCTATTACAATGACCACTTATGAAGTAGAGAGCCGTTTCCAGACCTCAAACGTACAAAGATGTTTCTAAGGAGCAGCATGCCGCAAAACAGATTCTTTGTATTAACCTTCTTATCAATACCAGAAACTACTGTTTAGTCAAAAAAATGATTGAAAAATTTGCACATCAGAAAGGTAAATGGGTTTCCTCTTCACAGGAACCTTGTATTACATAGAACGCACAACGTCTGACAAATACAATATACGTATGAGCAAAGAAATCGAATAGGCTACTTAGGAATTCTGTGGTGCATATTTGTTGCACCTCGTAAATATTGATTGAAGCAAGTACCATTAAAATGATATGAAAATCGATGAAATCAGCGAAAATTCATTAAGAATTACCTAAAAAGGTACCAAATGACTTACTACTCGACGAAACATGCAACAAAATGACATTTAAAAATGGGTCATAGTGTTTTGTCATAATATAAAATGAATTTCTATACTAAACGGCATTGTTCCAAAGTGGATAGAAAAAAATGACATTTCATTAAAATCCGCACCCTAGTAATTAATATATAATTACTAATTTCACATTAACAGAGCATACATTCTGAAAACAACTGCAGATATTTCGTTATTGCAATACATATCAGGCTAGTGGAATTTACAATATAAAAAATATTTTGTTATTGTTGTGGATGCAATCATTTAAAATCGGCGCGCGCAGCTAGCCACTGAGATAGGGCTCGCCAAGAAAGCAGAAACAGTCACGGGAAAGCGAGCCCGAGGTGATTCCCGGCCAGTACTTTGTCACCTGTATTTAAGGAACCACAGGCGCCGGCGTAAACAGACTTGTTATGTGAGTGCGCTTGAGAGTGTTGGTAGTCATGTCGATGGCTGGGAACCAGACTGTTACAAGTTCATTTCACTAAACTTAACCTTTTTTTAATGTAGTGGATAAGAATGGAATGGGTTAGTATGAAATGAGTTTGTTACATGCTAAGGGAGCGGAATATTCACAGTTTTATTTTATGCACACATGTAGATTGAGAGATTGAACAAAATGAAACAGAAATCTAATTTTGTTACAAAATTGGATTTTTAACAGTCTGGTACTTAGCCATCGATATATTCTGTCTACACCGAATATGCCGCTATTGAATATTCTACTTGGAGTTTGGTGAATTCTTCTAAGAACTGGTATATCTCTGGTGACAACGATAGTACTTTGATAATTGGTACACCTCTTGGTTATATTTAATAAGGCATTGATACAAGTTAGAATTCTAGAATTGTATAAAGTGCACAATAAAAATTTGTTAACTGTTTATTTCTTGTGTATTTTTGGTCATAACAATTTTCATCATAAATAGTAGAAACGTTAACAACAAAAATTATGCTATGAACTAGATTAAAACGAAACAAAACAACAGTGTTTGTTGCAAAGTGCCGTAGAGTGATTACCTCCTTTAAAAACCTAGCCCGTTTAATTACCGGCTCAATGCAGAACTAAAACAAAAATCGGGACTGCCCTTTAGAAATCACGGGCAGAACCACGTGCATGGGAGATGAGTATATCTTTATGAGTTTCTATAAAAATTACAATTTTGCACATATTATTTGTGCGCACAATTGTGCACAATTTTGTAAATAATGTTTCAATATATAATTTCATTAAACTTACTTTTAATTAATGATTTTTCTGCGAAACACACTAGTGTGTTTGCTACTCGACAAGAAACGAAATTCCGAAATAATAGATTTTTGAAAGTCAAAGAATTGTTTGAAAAAAATTCTCAAAAAGACGTTAAAATTGTACAGTCATATATCAAGAATGCTATTGAACCGATTTCGAACCGAATTCATAGCTGTGAACTATAGAACAGAAAGAAGATAGACCGAAAAAGAATGGATGCCTGAACAGGTTACATGACCTAAACCCTGTCGGGAAGGAGAAACAGAAGAAGAAGAAGAAGAAGAAGAAGAAGAAGAAGAAGAAGAAGAAGAGTTAAAAATTGTGTGTGGCGTACTAAGAGGATAAGTGCATTCGGCACACGTTTTCGTAAATTCTAATATCCATACCCTAACACGTAAGCACGTTAAATCTTAAATGAGTGCTTTTGGCAAGAATTGGGGGAAAATGGTCGCTACCGTGTCATAAAAATCTAGTTTCAAAGGTAAATCAATTATAGATACGGGCTATTATCTGTCACCGTGTCCTTCATACAAGAATTGACTTGTAGCCACGATAACATGGAGAACAATTTTAATAATTGTATTTCCTACTAAAGTGTAGAAAACGTGCACAGATAGTGATTTTTTACTGCGGCGATGGTGTAACGGTTAGCGTATCGAAGTGGTATACCCAAGTTGGCGGGTTCAAACCCGATCGAAGCCCTGAGTTTTTAAGGGCGAAAAAATCTTTTGTACGCCGAGGAGAAGTAAAGCCGGCTGTCCAATGTTGGTAGATTTACTTGCATGTAAAAGATCCTCAAGCCTAAATGACATGGCCTCTGAACTAAATTCAAAATCGCCTGTTTCGTCGCCCAAGAAATACCTCCTTTCTCCGCTAGTGGGTGAAAGGAGGTATTATTTGCGTGGTCAGACGGAAGAGCGGGCCTGATAGCTCGAGTCTCGCCACTGCTTCTAGGCTGTCCGGGTGACGCCGCGTCGTTGGCTGACTGAGGTTCGTCAGTACCCTGAAGAAGCCTGCGCCATGACAGGCGAAACGACGGCCTATCTGCCAACGACGCGGCGTCACCCGGACAGCCTAGAAGTAATGGACTCGAGCCGCGGAAGCCTACGTGTACGAGTCTCGCCACGTAAAATAAGGCATTAATTCAATTCAATGTATTATGCACAAATAGCATTATTATATATTTATGTCCAAAAACAGAACACGGGCCCATCTCTGCATTCGCCGATTGCCTGATATCAGTATGATATCGTACTCGTACCTTCCACGCAGCCAGCATACTTCTTCTTCTCTTCGCAAGTAACCGCGATGCGCTCTAGTTCTTCCCTGGCGTATGGGAGAGCCTCCGTTGTGGCATCACTGCATTTCTCGGAGGCGTATATCATCTTGGTTGTGCCGTTGGAGAACATCTGTGGTGACAAGTGACGATCACTATTCAATTAAATGTGCGTGGCTGAGTTTTCAGTGTGAGATTTTATGATGACAGTAATATTTTGTTAATAATATTATTTTTATATAATTATAGTAAGTAATTCTATAATGTTATTAATTTACAAAATAGTAAAGTATGTGATATTAATAAATACATAAATAAATAATATAATTATTAACTATATAATTATTTAACTCTCTGGTGAGTGTCTTTCTAAGTTTCGTGATTGTGTGCGGCGTGGCATTTACACTGCCGTTATGTTCATCGTGTCATTGGCTCCTGAATTAGAAAACTGCCGCTCTAGGGAGTATATAAAAATAAATTTATTTATTTTATTTTTTATTTGAAACATTTACGTTTAATATGACAGAGTTTTAATCGGCATCTTGCTGATTACGTTTAAAAATAATACATCTTGTAATTGAAACACTGTGTTTCTTGCAAACATCTTTCTTAAATTGCTGACAATACTATGCCCCATTGTTTTTATGTGAGCCGCAAGTGAAACAAATACCAGTTTTGCCTGGTGCTTGCCGTTTTGTGTCCTTGCTCCTGTAGTACCTAACTAAAAGGTAACAAGTAAATTTCTGAAATTTTGTGTAATTTCGCAAACGTACCCCCGTTTGATCAACTGTAAAATTGTACAAAATACTTTGTGTTCATTCTTGAAGAAGGGGGAAATAGTGCTCAAGAACCATCAGAAGTAGCTCATCTGGTGTATATCAAGAGCTAACATTGTTTAGATACAGGAGGCTTTTGCCCGAAAGGTATTTGTACAGGCTTATTTATTTATTTACATATACGATGAACAATGGATATTTCATTGGACGAGTTTATTTATTTATTTACGTCAAAAACTGTTAAAACTGTTTGTGACGTGCAATGGGGAGAAGTTAATTTAAAGTTACATTTATGCCCAGAAGCAAAACAAGGGGCCATCTCAGCATTTGCTCGAGGATCAGGGAAACTGGACGAAAACCTGATCGAGATGAAGGTCATTGACCCATAAGCTGAAGAACAATACTTGTTACAGGTTCTTTACAATTATACAATCCAAATGATATATAATACATTAAATGTCATTTTAAAAATTAAAATTACTTTCCTTTTGGAAGCTCGGTCTGCTTTAAATTTACAACGGGGGCGCTCACAAGAGAATTAATCGGATGTTTTGAGGAAAGGGAATCTTTCTAGCAAAATACAGTTACCAACTACACTCTATTACGGAGTTAACAACTGTACTAAAGAATAACACACGTATTTGTATAATCATAATTACGAACTTACCTCACCACTATTTAGCAAGGAGCACATGCTGTATTTCTGCAACCAAAAAGTATATCAGTATTCAAATATTATTTTAAAAAGCCATTTAAAAATTTTAATGAGACATTTGCAATTAAATTCGAAAGAACCAATTCACGACGTACACGAGTGTCACCCTGGTGAAAGACGCATGAGTTGACACCGTTCTGAATGAAGTACAACGTGCAATTATACCGTGTTCTGTCAAAATGATCCAATAGACCTCTAAAAAATCGGATGTTAACTCTCTGAGACTTTAGAAGGATGTACTTATAATAATAATAATAATAATAATAATAATAATAATAATAATAATAATAATAATAATAATATTTTTACAAGGCTACGAACTTGGCGAAACTTCCAGGTAATTCAAAGAATGGGTAATAGAAGACATGAACAGCCTTCATTCCATCAGCAAAGTATTGTAGAGGCACCGACAGACTCTAGATATGCTCCTTAGGAAGATGGTTGCAACCCATAGTAGATTTTATATTCAAACTACTCATAACACGTTTGGTCGTGAATTAGAGGAATAATATAATAATAATAATAATAATAATAATAATAATAATTATTATTATTATTATAAAAATAATTATAATAATAATAATTATTATTATAAAAATAATTATTATTAAAACAATGATAATAATTTTGTCAAATTCATTCTCTTCTGTACAATCTTTTGCCTATAGAATATTACCATAATTAAAATAAACAGCATACCAAACTCACCGCAAGTTTTTCCTGAACACCCGCGTCTTCTGGCAGTTTACAGCGTCCGTCTTTGAGTTGGCCTAAGAGAAAATATTTATGAAAATTTATTAATTCTATTCTTCTAACATTTATTAAGTCTATAGAGACACAATTGTTTGTGTTTCGAATTCATAATCTTCATATTACGAATTTTATGTTGAGATTCAGATTTATAGCCTTATGGGGAAGAGATATCGGTTTTCGTTTCCACTATTTCCAGCTTCTTGATTCAGGGCTTCCGATTTAGTGCCCATTTAAGGGATTACGGTTCAGGGATTATAGTTTTCGACTTCCGGCCTATGGTTCCGGATTAGGGCTTCTGATTAAGGGCTTCCGGTTCATGGCTTTCAATTCAGAAATACGTATTTGAATTGAATTGAATCAATGCCTTATTTTACGCGGAGAAACTCAGGCAGAGAGAAGGCAAATTTCGCTACGCTCCTTTCACTAACTAGCAGAGAAAGCAGGTATTTCTTGGGCGAGAAACAGGCGATTTTTGAATTGAGCTCAGAGGCGTCATTGAGGATCTTTTTCATGCAAGTAAATCTACTAACATTGGACAGCCGGCTTTACTTCTCCTCCGAAGGCGTACAAAAGATTTTTTCGCCCTTAAAAACTCAGGGCTTCGATCGGGTTTGAGCCCGCCAACTTGGGTAGAATAGTGCGGTACGCTAAACGTTACACCATCGCCGCAGTAAAAAATCACTATCTGTGCACGTTTTCTAGACTTCAGTAGGAAATACAATTATTAAAATTGTTCCCCTTGTTCTCGTGGCTACAAGTCGATTCTTGTATGAAGGACACGGTGACAGATAAGAGCCCGTATCTATAATTGCTTTACCTTTGAAACTAGATTTTTAATGACATGGTAGCGAACATTGAATTGAGCTCAGAGGCGTCATTGAGGATCTTTTACATGCAAGTAAATCTACTAACATGGGACAGCCGTCTTTACTTCCCCTCCGAAGGAAGGCTGTACGAACGTAACAACACGCATGACGTGTGT